TCTTTCCCATGTCTTTCTCTTCCAACGTCATACAATGAGTTCACTCAGCATTTAATTGTTTTAATTTTCCGCTAACCACGTGCACATACTCAACTATGCTGTTGCTCGGTGTATTATGTATATCCAAATGTTGAATTAAGCGACAGATAATGTTTAATTTAAACAACACACGCCAAGAGAATCTATCTGAGACCGCCCAAGAGGTATGCGTAGGCGTGACAAAGGCACCGACAATTCCCTAAACGGTTATCAGACAAACGGTACTTGCTTTTCTGCTCTATCTAATCCGATTGTAATTCTTTCTCCAGATCTGACTTGTATACTAGCTCAACTTGCTGAACATTGCGCAAGGGTGCATTTTTACGGCTAATAATACAAAAGGACAGATCTAACGTTGATGAACCGGAAAATTAGAAGACCAAAATGATTTTTTAAAATATAAAACCAGACAATAGGGAAGAATGATTTATAATTTTGATGATGTGAAAGGGAATTGATTTAGTAGCCGGTCACATCGCTCAAATCCGGTACAATGTACAACTAAAAAGAGAGATAAATAGAATAAAGGCTCAGACAGGTCCTCCCTCTGCTGGAAACTCAGCCCTTGGCAGGTAAATGAGGGGGCGATTCAGCTTTGGAAGGTTAAGCACCCTGGTGGGGTTCTTGGGGCCCCAAAGACCGCCGATTGGCCGGTCGAGCCAGCACCTGGCGGACAGCTGCCGTCGCACTACTACAAGCGCACGCGCTTCTACAACGCAGGTCCCTCTTTTTCCAAGTGTATGTGTGTGTATGTGTGTGTGTGTGTGTGTGTGTGTGTGTAGATGTATTTACTGCCAACGGAACTCGGAAGAGTATTAACAGTTACCGTTTTTCCATGATAGGTTTTAAAAAATTTACAACGCCGAAACTTGGTTTATTTTTTTATGGCTGAACCTTCCTGGACTTGGGTACGTACCAGAACTTTGAAGACAAGTACAATAATAACAACAGGTATACTTATACAGTCTACCAAGTCGCCACCAGTTTTTGGAGACAATAGACCTCGTTGGGGATTAGTGGTGGATTTACCAACCAGTTTTCAACACCTTAGGTTACTATTTTGAGCCTCAGTTTACTTGGTTACCCAAAAACTAGGGTTTTGACACTTATTAACTGATAAAAAATCTTGTTTTCAAGGTAGTAGAGGGTTTTGTTGTGAAAATGTTATTTAGTTTTTATCAGAGCAACCAAATTGATTATCGAATATAGAATCACTGAGTTAAATATGAAACTTGTCCTTGTAGAGTTACTTATCTTTATCTCGTAAACTCGTATTTTAATATAAAAGAACTGGCACTTGTGTAAATAGAAAAAAATTTAAATTTCAACCGATATAACAACGCGATTTCGCTAATTACAAGTCGAAAAAGAAAAAATTTAATCTTGCCGTTACGTCAGAATATTAAAACAAATCAAGAGCAAGAAAAAAGATACTTTGGTAGGAAAGACTGAAAGGGAACGGGGGCTGAAAAAAATATTAAAATAAACGTTAGGATGAGCCAAAGCTCGGAGATTATAAGTGTAATATAAGATAGAAACCCACAGCTGGAGATAAATGCTTTTTCCAGGGTTTGTGGTCCTGTACACGCTTTTTTTTCCTGTACTCGCCCTTTTTTTACATTCGTAATTTTCCTTTCCACTGGTCCTGACTATTTTCTCTGTAGTTTCTGGATGAGGTGCCTATACGCCCCGCGATTTAAACCCCGGGTGGATAAAAACGGGGATAAAAGACTCCTGAAAAAGAAGAACAGAAAGAACAACAACAAGAAAGACTCGACACTCAGGAAATGACCTGGCAGTGGCGTAGAATTCTGACTTGTTCTTCTTATTCTTCTTCTTCTGCTTCTTCTTTGGAGTTGGGAGTTGCTGGTATGGGCTAGTGTTTCACCAACGGGCTATTTAAATCATACATGGCTCCATGCCCCAATGGCCACGACATACCAGAATAGCCGGATATTTTTCAATAATAAATTGTCGTTGCAGAATCGAAAGTAAGCGTATACCTGATTCCCGGTCACTCGAGGGTTTACGAGTCCAGTTCTCAACAACAACTATATTGCTCTATTGAAGTATTTATAGTAAAAGTCAATAAATTGGCACTAGACTACCGGGCAATTCGTTGCTGTAATCCGTTTAGTTTATATATTTTATATATCTTGAAAATATAAATAAAAAAAAAAAAAAAAGGAAAAGCACTAACTTAGAATAAGCCAAGACCCCAATCATTCGTCAGTAACTCAAAAAGTAATGTGTACACTTTATACAGTAGCTGGATATGTTATTGTAGTTTAATATTCTGAATGGTAGCAACCGTCGCCGGATCTTAGATCTCGAGTCAGGTACTGAAAGGCACCACTGCCTTATGTGTATGATGCACACAATATGGATATTTATTAAAAGTAACAACTCTTGGGAGATAATATGCGCTCGTCTTATCTGCCTTACACTAAACTTTTTTTTTTTTTTTTTTTTTCATCAAATGAATTTTTCGAAACAATATTATTCCACCGACAGAATAAATACGTGAATAAGAAAACAAAAATAACAAATTCTCGTTTTTGTATGCTCGTGGGATAGTTCAAGAGGGAAAAAGGTCCTCGAGTAAGTACAAGGGGCCAAAAATAATATTTAAAGGCCGAAAGAAAAAAAAAAAAAAAGCATAATCAGTAGTCGAGGATTGACGGGGGTTAGAAAAATTTAGTCTCGGAATCTTGAGGTTGGGGCCTTTTTCGGGTAGTCCAAGTAAAGGCAGAAGACTAAACACGCCATATGGCCCCTTTGGTTACAATGTTTTTTGGGCTTCCTTTTTCTTCCTGAGCTCCCTCTGCTCGTTTGTTATTTATTTCCTTTTCTCTTTCACTCTGTTTAACGTCACGCTCAACAAAATGTAATCCAAGTATGCATTCGGCAAACTGCACTCGCTTTAAGAATTATCCACGGTAGACGGTCAAACTGGGGGGACATTGAATAATATTTTTTTTTTTCAACAGAAATGTCATTAGTCATTAGTAAAGTTGGGGAATAGGCGTGAATTTGAGCGAAACTATTAAATTCTCAAAAAGTATAGAGTAGAGTGTAACATCGTAGCCGCTCATTAGTTCCATACATCACTCGCCTGTCGCGCCATCTCTCTGGTAAACGCATACATCAGTTAGGACGGCGAAGATCCAGCAGCTCGTGTGTGCACACACATCGGATATGATCTAGTTCGATCGAGGAACAACCAACAGCCCAGTTGCTAATTCGCAATACACCTAAGCGTGTACAATGGTTATGTAGATGATGACTAATATCATCGGTAAGAGCAAGACACGATGGAGTAGACATGTATCTCATATTAGATAGCATTGGGCTATTAATACAACATCGTGATATACTGTATTATCACACATGTTGCGTGCGTACTCTCAACTCTGTGGTGGACTGGAAATAGAGCCTAACATGAACATCATCCACCCTCTAGCTCCAGCTCTACCTCTAGCTCTTGCTACCCCTTAATCGCTGTCTCGGGCTTTCGCGATTGTGTGTCATTGTCCGAGTCCGTGCAAGTTACACAGAATTGTGCACCACTGATACAGATATAGGCCTCTACGTTAGAGTACTAATATAATGGTAATCTAGTAGATTAACGGCAGCGATTCTACACAGTACAGTATGCTTTGTATGTTCATGTCATATAATATCCAACTATTACTGCTCCGAAGAATCCATCGATTTAGGTTTCTTCATCTTGAAGGCCGGATACAGAAGAGAAGGCCGGAAATATGTCTTACGAAAACAAGTTTTTTGGTGAGGTGATTGTTAATACTTGTCTTCCTTTAAAACTGGTACAATATCTTAAATTAAGATATTTACGATAATTATGTACAGTTGGAACAAACAAGTCTTGATCGATTGTTTTAAAATTGTCCTCGGGTTGTACAGTGCATACAATGAGTAATTACTTACGGCAATAACAAAACGTGTACCGTTATGAGTTTAATAAGCGGCTTAATAAAATGCTGATAGAAAACACACACACACACACACACACACATACATACAATGAGTAAGTTAAAATAAAACTAATAAAATAAGATGATGAAGAAAACGAGGAGAAGGAGGAAGAAGCATATGTGTACGTTGAGGGCGCCACTAGTTTTCGTTTTAGTTTATTTTTTGAATACTCTCTTACTCATAAAACTCATCTTGCTGTCTCGTTTCCACGGTGAGTATGTGTCGAGACCTTGAAAGAGACGATCAGTTGGTAGTTACAACTATAGAGTTAAAGGACAAAAAAAAAATAAAATAAAACTATAGTCCATTTTTATGTAATTTATGCTTGCGCTGATTATCTTAATTAACAATCAACAGGGGAATTAAAAATGAAATACTAATTGACTTTTATTATCATTTTGTGTGTATCAGTTCTCCCTTCTACACTCCGTTCTTCTCTTGCTCCTCATTCTACTTGTGCTTCTTCCTTTCCTTCTTCGGCTATAATTTTATTATCATCATAACTGAATAGCTTTAAAAAGAGCAGCGGGAGGCCAGGGGGTGTGAAGGTAGAGGGGAGTTGGAGCATGGATGTGATGATAAATGGTTGAGAGTCACTGGAATCCAGTCCATAAGCCAGAGAGAATAAACCGAGCAGAGGAGAGTAAACTGTGCTGAAATACACACACAGTTCAGTAGATCGCTGTGAAAAGGAGGGTAAAGTGTGTGAGAGAGAGTCGGGGGGTTAAAGCCTTATTTCTCACTCAGACTCGGTACAACAACTATAACGTCCCTCATACTCGACTCAGTCCTCTCTATATAGAGTGTATGTAGTGATGCTGTAGCTCTGGTGCAGCCGCCCCCTCTCGCTCTCATTGCCGCCCTTTCCTCCGTTACTATACGGATAACAATGGCGTGCAAAGGAGATTAACAAACAGAATAAGCTAACGCATAATCGCATTATTTCTGGCTAAGCCGCATTTAAATTAGATAGAAATTCCATTTAACGAAATAATGCCTCCCGGATCACGAGTCACATCCTCCTGCTCTGAATAACGCCCTCCTAACTATTTTTATCTAGTTTTTATCATAAAAACTAACGTAACTATTAAGAGGAGCAATAAATTCAAAATAATCAATGTTGTGAGCGTTAAATTTAATTATGGATTAATTGAGAGGTATCAACTTGTTACAGTTATTGGATTTCCGGTAGCATGTTATGCTCAGACCTTTTATTTCACCAATCGGGTAAATATAAAACCCGCTGGAAAAGGATTAAATCCTTTTAGCGCCACCCGGAATATAATAAAAATAAAAAAAAAAAAAAAAAAGGTATTATAGAGAACATTCAGAGCTTGGAACCATTGAAAAACTCATTCCCGTGTGTATAAATGCTTTGTAATTCAATGTGCCAGCAAATGAACAACAAAGGGGTGTCAAATAATCGACGGTTTGTGGAAAATCCGATCCGGATGCTTCGAAAGTTTATCAATTATTACGTTTTTTATTTTAGATTTGTTTTACCTGAGGACCACCATCGACGATTGACTGGTAAGCTGACTGGAAGACGCTGCCGAGCTGCGTCATTCCCTCGTCTCCCATGTGGAACATTATGTCACCAGGAGATCCATTGTTGTTAAGGTTGTTGTTATTTCCCATTAGCTTTTCGGTGGTACTAATATCGCGCAGAATAGTGTTTGACTGCATCATCGATGATAATGGTATATTTTATTCAATTATTTGCTTTTACAGCACAATTATACTTTTAGAACCACTTTTTATTTTCAGTTTAAACAAATATCAAATCACACTAGCAGTCTCGTTTGTTATTGCTGACATTTTCACCACTAAATACGGATAACTTTGGAGAAAGAATCACAGCCGGGAAAAATCATAACTGGTCATAGCCAATCAAACGGTCACCAGTTTAAATTCATCCTGTCAGTTTGACAGATAAAAGTGTCAATAGTCGCCGGATAGTGTCTGGTGAATTTTAAATTTACGGCTCGTACGTAAAAAGGTTTATGACAACCGAAAAAAAAGCGTTTTTCCTTCGGTATTATTTCGATTTTTTATTTATATTTCTTCCCAGGTCCTATCAGAAAACGAACACGCGGCTGAAACGTCGGACACACATGGCGGCACGAGTCGCGTCGTTACAACGCCAAAAAGACCAACTAAAATCCAGCATATAAAAAAATATACATATATTCTTCTTTATTCTTCCTTAGCTGGATATTCTTCTCGAGTTTTAAGATATAAACAATAATTTTAAAGATTGTTGCGTTTTTTTTTACAAGATTTAACCTCTAGAACACTTTGATGGCACTTAAAATAATTAAACCACTCAAAACACTCGTTTAATGGGTACGTCAATCACTGAAGAATCTATTGCGGTATTAATCACTAGTCTTTCACTGGTAATACATAAATTAATATATATCTCGACTAGAAGTATAAATATTTAAAATAAAACTTGGTTTTCGCACCATTTGCTCTTGTATTTCCGCAGTGAGCCGAACAAAATCCCGTGTCAATATTTTTCGTAGCCCGGTTCCATATCAAACGCATTCACTCGTGTCATAAATAATATTATTAATACAAAAAGAGTGTAATAATAAATAATATAGGATAAATAAAAACTAAAACCTTTACTGCAGACAAGTAGTCTTAGAGAATATAACCGAAATAATAAAAAAAAAAGCTCGGGATCACATGAAAAAGCGACAAAATCTCATGCGGTCGAGGTACGCGACGCGACTGACGCTCGACTAGGGGAGGCAAGCTGATCTTCCCTCCCTTCGTCGTCCAATCGACGGTGGAGTCCCCTCCAGCGCAGTTTCCCCCACTCTGGTAGATTCAGTACCGCGTAACTCCATCATTCTCCTCTTGGGGTTCTCCCTCTTCCTCCAACGGCAGATGAACATAAAACGGTGTCTCTCTCTTTTGGGTGAACTCTTTTCCCCTTGGGGTGCAGCTTGTCCCTTTTGAGTTCGCGGGAAGTGAAACAACCAGCAACCCCTACACTCGCTTAACTACGGGAAATACAAGTGTAGATGTTAGAGCTGTAGCAAAGGGCTCAGAATATAAACGAGCTGGCGTTTTCCGTCCGCTTTTATTTGTTACTCTATTTACAGAGGATCTTCAATTGTAGGCCAGTCAAATTACCTCGGTATGACCATAAACAATTTCACTTGACCAAAGTCTTTATAAAAAGTGGCAATTTATCAGTTTTTTGGTTAATGGTAGCTTTCATTACTAAAAATCATAAACGGCAATTATTTTTCACCTATTGTCAAATTATTATTAAGAATTGCTCCAGTAGGACTATGTTATGCTAGTAGCAAATGCTTGGCTGTATACATTCGTGGGTGTTGTAATAAAAACTGTAGGCAGATCCATTCCGAAAACATTGGCCCACTTGTTGAGCCGAAAAACCCCGAATGATCCTACCGCTGATTACCGAGTGGTGAGCTAAAGCCCAACTGCAGTCTTGATTCTTTGGTTGTAACAGTGTGTATTTGCAAGTTCTCTGTTTTACCTTTTGGATCTGATTCATTCACTTAAAAGCTGAGACTCGTTCGATGATCCATCAGTCTGTCTCTGTCAGCGGAACTTTTGTTATCTATTAAAGTAAAAATCAGTTCATTCAACTCGGGCCAATAATGAACAAAGAGCTGATGAATGGGTTACCAATTCCAATGACTATAATTAGTTGTGGCCATAGCAAACTTTGAATCACCACCCAATAATAATACACATAAGTGTAATTTTGGTGTCACTTGTATACGGTTGTATATTGTCTGTAGAAGTGGGAGAGATTATAATTACCCAAGTTAAGCCCACTCTAACCCAGTTGGCGAGCGACATCAGCTCCAGTTTGACAACGGAGGCCACTTTAAATCCGCAACAACCGACAAATCCATACATCCAATAACAACAACCGCATTTATCATTTACGTGTTTTCCCAATGGGGATATTCAATGTCCATCTTCTCTATATTCTCAATTCTCAATTTTGCATCACCAAGGGACCATTATCAACTACCCTCTTTTATTTACCATATCAATGTTACACTTTTACTAACACAATCTAATAATGTTACAAGTTATAAAACTATTACACTTGTTTGCTGAATTTTTTTCTTCAAAATACAAAACAGATGTTTACAGCCATAAATATCTTTGGGAAAATTGTTAGAAACTAGGGAGAGAATAGAGAAAGCCAAATGATGGATCAAAAACTCAAAATAATTAAAAGCAACCAATATTCCTGTGGCGCATGCTACCCGTGACCAATTTTTTGACAATAGCCCACCAGCATTTTCAAGAGAGATTTAAATCTACTACCTGGCTCAATGTACCAAGGGTCGAGGCCAAGTACAACGATAAATGTCTATACCGCAGGAATTTCCTTATTTTTTTTTTTTTTTTTTTTTTTTTTGCATTAATTTTGTTCTCTAGATCCAAAATATCTGAAGAGAATTGGTTAAATTTATGATCCTACAAGAATTATCCATTAGTTTCAAGTACCAGTGAGCCTATTACCGTTTCTTTGAAAATCCAAAGACCGTAATAGAAGAAAATAGATGATTTCCTGTAATTTTGGCAAGTGTCTTAGTAAAACCCGGACGGTAAATAAAGTGGATAGTTTTGTTAGTTTTCTGAGATGCGGGCGGGCGTACCTCTTGAGGCATTCAAAGGAGGATATTAACCTGACCCGTGAAATATTATTTTGTTATTTGGAGGTTCAATGAACAAGATATAGCAGTAGAAGAAACGAAGAGAGTTAATATAACAAGTTAACCAATTGATGATGAACAAATAGTTTATATGATAATTATTATATTGAAAGGAATTTAAAAATAATTAGGTAACCTTGTATAACCAACTGTGTCAACTTTATTCCTACATATTCTCACTCGAGTGTTATAATGTTGTTACGAACAAAGTCTGTAAGTGAGTGTGAGTGTGTATTTAAATAAAAAGAATAAAAGAAAAAAAAAAGAAACGATAATGTTAATAATAACCAAACGAGGTACAATAAAAAAAATAATAAAATAAATAAGATAAATTATTAACAGAGAGTCTTTACAATTTAAAAAGGAGAAAAGTATCGTGATGTCTTTGAATAGAAATAGAAATAGCAGAGAATTAGGTTATAACTCGGCAGTATATTGTAGTACCTGGTTTGGGTTTGGTTCATCCGAGCTAGGATAGAGGATACTACGGGAGGAAAGTGGTCGGCTATAAGAGAAACGAGCTTTCCGAATAGAGGGTGAACTCCGGAACACATTAACTGCAGAGCAAGTGGAGGACAAGGGGCTGGAGGACCGGGGACGCCTATAGATGCTTTTCCACCCCACTGGCGTAAGTAAACTCAATGGAGAACGGAATCACCCGAGCGATTAGTCCCACGCATATAAGGGGAAAACGATCGTTTTACCCTGGCCTGATGCTCATACTTATAGTTTAGCTCCTCTCAACTTTCTTTTCCCCTATAACTATATATACTGCTCAAAGATTAAAAATAATAAAATCACTTGGCACATATTTTCAGTGGTTTACTATTGTAAGGAATAAACTACACATAATGCCATCAGATAAGGAAGTCAAGGCTTTCGTTTCTCCATTTTAGGATGATTCCTCCCTTTCACAATACTATCTTTCTGACTGGTGGCATTTCCAACCACAGCACCAGGGTATAGTATGTACAATACAATATTAGATTGCGTGCACTGTTTTCGCTAGCGCGTGTCCGCTCTCAGCCCGTTACAACCCGATAAGTCCGTTTGCTCGCGAATAAATGATCAAGATTCGTTACAAACCTCTATATTTGGATTAATTCGAACAACGACCACGACAATGCCTCTTTATATCTAAACAAATATATAAATAAATAAATATACAATATTCCGGAGCTAAATATGCGTGCACGTGTTGTACTGGTCTGCAGTTACATATTACGTGTGCACATCCATGTATGTAATTTTATTGTTGTTATTATTATTATTATTATTATAGAGATCATGGATGACATTAAGATTGAGATTTATCGAGCCGATCTGTGACCCGGTTGCTCAAATGCTAATGCCATTTTTATTGATTCCCTTTGTTTGTATTTGTCTTTATGTATAGTGGAAATAACGCTAACAAAAGGACAATGTTAACTGTTAAACCCAATTAGACACTATTGGGGAAGACATGTTGTTTTAGATTTTTATTGCGTTTGTTTTCAGACCCCGAATGCCGACGCCATTGTACTTGAGGCAGGGTTGTAGTTAGGGATCGAATAGGGATGCTTTAGGGTGAGATTTAGGAGCTACTGCTGTTCAAGCAAAACCCACTTCTGTAATTTTTTTAACAAATCAAGCGGAGGTTTTAAATAATTCTTCATATGCTTTGAATAATTACTGGGCTAGTTTTTTTTAATTTAAAAAAATAATAACGCCCATCAAAGCTAGACAAAATCCGTAGGCGGTTAAATTGGTGCCTTAAAAACGGAAAGAACCTTCTAAAGGGAGGGTAAGATTGAAAACTCTCAAGTCGGTCCCTTTTATCTGTAAATTGAGAGTAGTCTCTGAAAAGTACTCGAGTGACTCTCCAGAAACCGAACGTAAATGGGAAATGGCCGTATTCTCGATAATGATCTACGATTTTTCTAAAAAAAAAGTATAATAAATTTACTTTTTAAAAGAGAATGTGAATTGGAATTATAAAAATAATATATGAAGGAATTTATATCTATTGTAAGGGATAGAAGAGATATTTACATATGATGAAGCTAATTTACTAAAATGTGGGGATATGATTCAATTGTTCAAGGTGTAGGGGAATATTTACTCGGTACACACGCCGGGAATAGAGTAGAGAGTCCTCAAACTCTCTAGGGTAAACTTATTTACACACACACACACACACACACACACACAATCATGTGGGATGAATTTCGAGGGCTTGAGATTATTTCTTCGCGGGAGATAATTTCTATTGTATGTTTTTTTTTGTGCACAGCCAAAAAATATGAAATAGCATGTTGGATCCAGTCGGTAAGTAAACTGAAGCACGCACGCTAAGTAAACACGTAGACAACCGTTTTACGAGTTAACCGTCGACCCTAAGTAGAATCCCCCGAGGGTGAGACTAGACCGAGGGCCGAGTTTGAAAATCCCAAAAAAGAAAGGGTGGTCACATAAGTGTCACGTAGGCTTTGGTACAACTGTACTGTGAATTTATGTCGGCGAATTGATATGTCTATAAAAAATAAAGAAATAAACCAGGGATAGGTTTTGTCGATTGTCGCTGAACGGTCAACCAAAAAATCCCCGCAGTCATTCAAGCGGACGGGCTCGAGTGCCCGGTAAGGTGAGATCGGTACAATTCAGAGGGCAGCTCGAGGGTGGATTTTAGTGGGTGTATATACTCTGAGCGACAAATGGACCGCAAGATATCGTATATATACGGGGACGTTGTTGTGTTTGAATGTCGGGTTATCCGAGTGTGAGAAGATCACCAATAAATTGTTTGCTTCTCGGACTCATTGTCTGGCAAATTTGCTACCATATGCCGATTACATGTCACGCTAAAAATCCTTATCTCTGGATTTTCAAGGGGGATCTCAATTTCGCTTAAATTAACCACCTATTACTGGGGGTTTGGTCATTATCTTTTGGGTTTTTTATCAAAAATATTCATCGGGTTTTAAAAACGCATGGTGATAATCCAATAACAAAAAGGATAAAGGACAATGAAAGCGATGGTAACCGTAATGGAGGAGATAATAAATGGTTATTGATATGTTAATTTGAAAACCGAGTTTTGAATTCTCGGTGGTGTCATTAATCCCTAATAAAAATGAACCAGACGTTCTCGTGCGGGTGAATGTGTATTAGTGCGGTCCACGGACAATCAAAATGAAAAAGCATCCCCTGGACAAGACAGCCGTGAGCCACGTGGCCTAGAGGGTGCTCATACGACCACTCAAAACGCCAAATTATTTCGCAGGCAATAGATTAATCGTCGAGAAGAACCAACAGCTCCGTGAAAATTCAATGATCCAAAGGATTCGCCGTATGATACAACAACAACCCTCTCCCTTTTCAAAGGACTCAAAAATGCTTGTTGGTTCGAGGGATTACAATAATATATCGATAAAGTAGTGCGTCATGTCAAAGTGTGCTGTGTATTTTGTTTTCAGCACGTATTTAGAAGCAAGCGTGCCTGCCTTTCCGTTGAGTAATACGTCCAAATTATATCCCTGCTATATAAACATTATCATCAGTCATTCTATTACATGGGATTGGATAATTAGATTAATGTAAGTGGCTTTTGGTAGGGATTCATATTCACACACTTTCAAATTCAATGTATTGTAAAAATTTGGACAATTTAGATTTTGAAAATAATAGCAGTTAGTGGCACAATTGTTATCAATATCGTCTAATAATCTAGACCCAATTATAGTATCGATATTCCAATAACCGCAGTTGTTATGCATAATTTATTACGCTAAGCCATTGTATTGAAGTTCCACGCATCTATATGCTTATAATATCAGTTTATAATTCCAACCTAAACCGTGTTTACCATCTTTGGTAAGAAGATTTTGATCGGAGATTTTTATCTTAATGGTTAATGGATTTGTGATGAAAGAAAAGTCAAGGTATCTGCTGAAGAGGTCGCTTTAATTTGCAAACTATGCCAATTATTGGTATTTCCAACCAATATTATAATTCGCAATAAATGCCAATTATTCGGATTATTTAATGAATGCCGACTATTGATAATTTGCATCTGGGAGATGAATTTGGTTGTAGCTATATCCGGAAAGAAAAAAAAAAAGAGGGTCGGCAAAATGACCATCGAGGGGATAAATGGAAAGTAAAAGTATGTTTGATAAAGAGAAAGAGAAAGACGATAGGTGGGAAACCCTGGAGAGTTTGAGAGCTGGAGAGCGGCGACACATTAAACTCCCGCGTTAACTCCAGCAACAGGTGTCCGTCAAACAGCTCGCGGCTATTCTAGGCACGCGATTCTTCATAATTGATTTGTCGTTGTCGAGTAAACGGACTGGGGAAACGTCAGGTCTCGTTACTCATTACTCAGGGGGATTATTTCAAGCGGCGGAAAAGTCCATTGAAATTACCACCAAGGATCTTGCATAATTTTCTTATTTCATCGGAAGTAAAACCGCAGAATTATGAACAATACCTGTACATAGATAGTTGTTGTTGTTGTTGTTGTTATTTATTCTTTTTCTTATTTTTGGACAATAGCTTCCATATAAAACATTTTAAACAATGTGTATTGAGGCAGCATGTAATTTAGCTGGCTGGCGACTGTTGTGGTTGGTTAAGAAGATGCAAAATTAATGTTTGCGGTACAAAGATACCCGAACAATATTCTATACACGTATTTTTGCAGTGTATGGTGTGGCCTCGAACGAATTCGTTCGAGGCCACACCACGAATTAGTATAAAGCGAGCCAAAGGTTTCACTATGGCGCATGGTAGTTGGTGAAATGGTTGTACGGTCTGGCGACCGCAGCACGCGACACCATATGGTCAACTCTCTTACCCTACCAACGTTACTTCAGGTTTCCGCTATTCTCCATAGCCCAGTCCTTCACCGATCTTTCTCCTGTGATAGCAACCTCTTCGCACGATCTTTATCTTTACGTCAACCCACAAAACTAACTTCCATCTACATAATCTACATAATCTATGTATATTCCCAACAAGAGCTTCCTCTTTCAATAAATAACCCAATAAACAAAATTTCAAGTCGTGGCACCAATTTAATTACCAACAATCTTATCAGTTATCAAATAAAATTCAAAGATAATCGTATCGATTTGAATATATCGGGAATTACAGCAGTGATTCTCAACCAAACTCTCATCAAGTTAAATTTAATCAAAAAGGTTTTTTTTTTTAGTGTTACTTAATGATATCATAAGGGTATCATCAAAATTTTACTAATTTAATTAATTATGCCAATAATATTGATCAAATGTGCGTATAAAAGAAATGAAAAAAAAAATCGTATCTGTTTTGCATTGGAAATTAATATAACATTTAATTCTTCGAGTTATAGCGTTTTTTGTCATAACAATTTTATTTATTTATTTATCAAAATGAGCATTAGTTTTCTTAAGATAAAAAAACGTATGAATTTTTCAAAAATGAATTTTTCTGTTAAATTGTACTCAAATTTTGTGAAAACTTTATACGCTATTTTCTCGAAACTATAATTTTCGATAACAGGGCAGCAAGGTCACCCCTCTTGACAATTGTTAACCAACTCTACTTACACTACACCCCTAAGATTACAATGGGGAATTTGCAAGCTTATAGCTTATAGGGTGATCCAATAAAATGCCTATATAAGTACTTGTTTCAGAGTAATATATGAAACTCGGAGATTTTGTAAAACACCAACACGATGAGAGGTTACGCTCGTCTACATCTAGGTGTCGCGTTACAGAAACGGAAACTCGTGTTCTGTGTCGGATGCTAAAGGAATATCAACAACAAACAAAACTCTGTCTCGGACAGTTTTAAATTCAACAACTGGTGTCGAATTTCAATGTTTAAAGTTAAGTGTAAGTATAAGTATAAGAGCATGATCGAGTAGACGAATAGTAGTAGACGACGGAACTACTACAAGAGGACAGCGCTGAAAAAATATAATAAAATAAAATGACTGCCGAGGAATTATAACTCTGGGCAAAGTTTGTCTGAGACAAAAAACGCAGTCACGCTGTTCGCGCTCGCTGGGGTCGAGAGAAAAAGTTTTAGAAATAGAGAAAAAAAAAAAAAAAAAAAAGGATACCGAAATAATAAATATTAACTTGAGACAGAATGGAGAGGAAAAAGGACAGCGCCTGGGAAAGTCTCTCCCGGATGGATTATTTGCGTAGGAGTCCCATGTTAAAACGATTATCCTCATAGATCGTTAAATCTAGTCTAAGGACTAGAATATATACTAAAGCTAAATGATAATGGTGTATTATAATTTTGTTTTGGACTCACCCAGTGTTGCGTTGTGACCACTTCCCCGTCTGCGCTGTCCAAGCTCTGTACAACAGAGAGATTATTTTATATATTTAAATATATAATATATTTAGCATTATCACACGTGCAAAACGAGAGAATAATAGAGACAAAGCCGCTGCTTTTTAAATTTCTAACAAACAAATCAAAGAAACTTTAGTCTTAAGTACAATCAAGTACCGACTATCGATTTCTTGTTAGCTCTACGAAGTAATTCGTTTACTTTTACCGAACGACATATATAAATATATATAGTCTGACGCTAATGTAAGTTACAAATCGTAGCGCTTTGACTCATGTTTTTACAATCTAACATTAACATGTACACTTATTAATGTCCACACATGCATGAAATAACCAAGCTTAAAAGCGTAACACTTACGTCTTTCTTTCTTTTGACGGCAGCGGCGCCTGTAAGATATAAAGATTACAGTTTTTACTTTATATTTTATAATAAAAACAGTATATGGCTATGTTTTTAAATGCTTTTATGTGGAATATTTAATAAAAATAATACTTTTTGGTTTTATGGAAAGTTTTGAGAGCTTGAAAAATTTTGAGGTGAAGTATATAAAAAATTAGTTTTAATGGTGATTTGGATCAAAAAAAGTGTAAAGGGTTGTAAATGTGTATAAAAAAAATTAAATAGGAATATTTACGGTATAAAATGTAAAAACAAACCTTTCAATTTGAAAATTACACAGAAAAAAATTTATTTGAATCAAATAAATAATTTTAAAGAATTTGATTTTCTTGGTTTTAAATTATGACTTTTGTTAAATTGCACTGTACTTTCTTAAATATTGACATTTTTAAAGATATAAGCTCATTGTGATGTTACACTCATCAAGAGCTTTCATTTAAGTACCCACATGCATTTTTGATATATTTTTCATATTTACATATATATAATATACATAAATATATAAAATATATGAAAAATTTATGTGGGTACTCAAATGAAAGGTCTTGATGAGTATAACATCGGGATGAGCTTATATCTTTAATAACTCCAATAGTTCACAAGAGATACAAGGTCATTTCTTAATTCATCTCTTAATAATATAGATTAAAATCTATAAAAATGATCATTTTCTGTAAATATAAAACTAAAAATATAATGATATAAAAAAAATATAAAACTCACCGGAATTTGGTAACCGTGCAGTGTTTCCAGTCGGCGTAGCAGGATTAGACGCTGATGTCGGGGTGCCTACCGTGGGTGGAGGAACTCCCCGTGTCCCAAAAGGAAAATAAGGAGAATCCGGAGGATACGTTGCGCCTTCGACAGTTGTTCCACCTCCGCCACCTGGACCACTGGCTGGGCCGTTTGCCGCTGGACCGAATGCACCGCCACCATACGCCTGGAACAAAGGTTACTTATAGTTACAAGAGGAATGACAATTGACAATGAATAGCTTAAATAAATGAATATTTAACTAAAGGAATAATTTGGAGAATAAATCATCTGGTGGATCGATTTTTTTCTTATCAATAACTGTTTAACGATCAGAGTATGATTAGATATGATTATCAATAACACAAGAAATATTACCGAATTTTTTTAAACTCTGTCATATTTTTATAAACTATAATCATATCTGATAAGTCTATTTACAGAGAGTGAAATAGTACCGATGAATATTGTTATTTTACATTTTATAAAATAAATATTTCGAATTTTAAAAGGGGGGAAATAATATCGGGGATTTGATGATAATTTCACGGGATTTGTTACTTATTGTCAAACTGACAAGCTAGGTCCTTAGATTCTCGGATGCTAACTTGGCAGAAGCGAACTAAGACTTTACTTTACTTTATCCTTAAAGGATAACTTTTCATCCAGGCCAGTTAACCTTCTTGGCCACTCTCTTCAGCTTTGTTTTATCCTTACAGTAAGTTGGACATACTTATAGATACAACTCTACGATATAATAATAATAACCGGGAAGGCGTAAGTGATATTAAAGTTCCCGATCAGTGGCTTTCAACTTACTGCTAATAAATTTTAAATCGGTAAAACTTTTATCTAAGAAACAACCTCCAGTTAATTAAACAATTTTCAATATAAAAAATAATATAATGAAAATTATTTTGTTATTAATAATTATTAAAAGTGTAATATTTAAATAATGGTATGATAAAAAATTTCACGAGGATAAAATGGAAATTGAGAGCCACTCGGTGAAAATATTACTCGGGTCGAAGTTTTTGGATTATGTCGAGGGTTGTACAAAAGGGAGAGTCTTAAGACTGGGTAGAAAGATAATATATGCGTTAAATATTATTTTTTTTTCTTTTTTCCTCTTTGTTTTACTAAACATTTTTTCTACTAAATTTTACGGTACGCTATTTAACGAGTGTTGACTCATATATACATGTGTGTACTTAATATTTTAAAGGAATTTTTTAAATTATTTTATATTTAACCTTTTATGTTTACTTTCTTATTTTAAATTTATAACTCACCATTCCATTGTCCATTGTTGGTCCGTACGGTGATTGGAAGCCTGGCTTTTCTGTAAAATATTCAAATAATAGTTTTTTATTATCTTGTTAAGTATATTAAACTCTCTAGAACAGTTGTATAAATTTTTCCGAGAGAAACTTTTACATAATTGTTAGATTTTTCTATAAGGATTTAAGGAGATCCAAGTACCCTACTAGTGTAAAGAATGTCTATAAAAAAAATAAAATTTTTTTAAAATCGTTTATTGCATTAATGACTTTTATTAAATTGCACTGTACTTTTTTAACTATTGATTTTTTTATAGATATAAGCTCATCCTGATGTTACACTCATCAAGAGCTTTCATTTGAATACCCACATGCATTTTTAATATATTTTTGATATATATATATATATATATATATATAAAATATATGAAAAATTAATGTGGATACTCAAATGAAAGGGCTTGATGAGAGTAACATCAGGATGAGCTTATATCTTTAAAAATGTCAATAGTTTACGAGATACTAGGTCATTTCTTAATTACGTACCTAGAGATGGAGCATTTTTGAATGCAGCTGAGATATTTATCAATATGTAGATTAAATTTAAAGATTTTCAGGAAGTTTTAATAATTTGACTCCCTCCCGTGGATCTCCTTAAATTTATAAAGTGTAATTTTGAAAACAAAAGGCTGGTGATGAATTTAAAGTTTTTTTTTTAGGGGATCGAAAAACATAGAATGTATAAAATAAAACTGTGGATTTAATGTCAGCATATACTGACGATACATCTTTATAAATCAAAAGGTTTAACATGGTAGTGCCATTTATTTTGTTTCTCGAAGTTGGAACGTGATACACGCACAGAATAACCGATCAGAGCATTATATCTGGCTGAACTCGGCAGAAAGGAGCAGAAGCACAGCATCTAGGCCGTGGAAACTCCCTTAAAACCTCGGGAACACGGTAGGTATCGCTCGGTGAGCATGAGAACTCGGAATTCTGTATCCATGGACGGAGGAACGAGAGTTCATTGGATATTAATATCATTCAGACTCTGAAAACTACCGTATACAAGGATAAATTTATGGTGAATATGTGATCTAGAATAAACTTAAAAATTTACAGATGTCAGAGCTCTGCCCGGGGAAACTTACAGCTCCCAGGAATTATAATTTAATGTAACATAAACCAAAGTTTGTTGTTTCAGATTCTGGAGAAAATCACGAGACACTACTGATGTCCAGTTCCAAGAGCAAGGCTGCATGGACATGCCACCAGACTCGCTCAGATTTGCTCAGATAACTATGAATCCTAACAGTTTCGGCTTGTCTGTGACACGTTCGTCGGAGCGTAGATCCACTACCGAAGGCACGCCAGTAATATCATGCATCAAAGGACAAACCTAGGTACCAACGTGTCATCCTCAGGACACTATGGTAAGCCCCGTTATGACGTACTGTCTCTCATCATCCTCTACTTCTCAAACAACTCCATCCAAATCGATCCTTCATTATCAACGATTTGTTACTTTACAGGCTCTCCTTTTCTCTATTTCTACTCAAGCTTGTTAGAATTGATGTTTAGATTTATTTAAGAGAAAAGTTGTACTGGTCATGTTTCCCTCTACTACCCCTTAACCCTTAATGAAATAGGGAAAGCATACTAAGTACTCAGAGTACTAGATGTAACTAATATTTTTCTGTTATAGTTAGCCGAGCTGAAATCCTTCATCAAGTGTCAATTGTCTAAATTCTAATTCAATGGTTCTAACAACGCATTTATATTATAATTGGCTTTGTTTAAATCTTATTAATTAATTTCTATTATCTAAATCAATATATCGATTCCCCTGAAATCTTGAAACAGTTCAGTTTCATCTGCTCAAAACCAGATCTGAGATCCCGAAGGCTGCTGTACTCAATAAAAACAACAAAAAACTACGTGTGTTAATATTATAATTAATTATTCGATTGAATATATTCTTGTACCTATAAATGGAACAAACATATTTCGGAACTAATGAAAAAAATCAAGTACTTTACTTTCCTGTTTTATAAACTAAGTAATTGACTGAAAATCATATATCATGGTCTTTTTGAAAGTGTTATAAACTATGGAATTATAGCCTAGGGTGGTGCTTATGATAACACATTAAAATCTATAGTAAACCTTCAAAATAAATTGTTAAAATAAAAATTACAGATGATTCGTTGGTACCACTGAAAATTTAACAATTTTTCACTTATTATTTTTCTGAATGTAAAACTTTGTACTCTGAGTTTTTTGGTTTTAAAAAGTATGTTTTTGTTAATAATAATACAGATACATGAAATAAGTCAAAAACATCTTAGAAAATAACTTAAACAGAATTAATATAATATTTTGTTTATGCTTGGTTATAATGCAATATAAATCTCAGCATATTTTTATTTATAGAGTAACTATTTGAATATAAAGTTTTATCATTTTTTGAGAAAGTCTTGCAACATTATTTAATTTTTAAAGATAAGGGAAAATGTACTCTGAGAGAATAGTTAATACATGGTCCAGATAATTAACTCTACCAAAAATTAATAGAACACTTACTAAAAGTTCACTTTAAATTGCAATAAAATACTTCAATCTACTTCTCAATAATCTGAAAGCTCTAAATTTTAATAAAAGGTTAAGAAAGCATATACTTTCTTTTTACTTTGTACACTACTTACTTACTTAACTAATTATTTGTATAAATGTATTATATTTTTCTGGTGTTTAAAATTAATAAATAAATCGGCCTGTACCTTGACATTTATTATTAATACCATTTTTCTGCAGCATCACCCGATTAGATGGCACAAACTGATTCATCATTCCGACGAAAACTACGCTTTTAGATAAAATCATCGAAAATGGTGAAACTGCAGTTAAAGCCAAGTTCTTTATACCTAAATATTCTGAAAAATATTCTCACCCGTCGACATTATCTCTGGTTTGTAAGCTAAGCCGGCAAATAGACTCGGTTATATATTCCCACGCACTCGAGTAATTTAGCAGGGATATTTTTTCCACTAGATTAAGGGGGTGTATATATTAGCCACATGTCGTCTGAGAATTTTAAAAATTCAAAGTAACTCTAGTAGGATTGTAAATAAAACCTAAGCGATGATGCTCGTTGCAGTGTTCTTAATCGATCAAGATTAAATTGCGTCTGGTCTTAACTAACTTTCTACATATTCTTCCCAAAGACCAGGATGCAGGACATTTATTTTTTTATTCTTATAGTTTGCATTAATTCCTAAATATTCGGTGGATTTTTTTTTTTCATTAAATTTCAACAGACTTAACACAGGTGAGTAACAGCCATACCAGTTCACCTTCGAAGTAAAGACGATTTAAAATCGGTCCACCTGCCTTGCTGGCGTACTACAAGAGTACTTTCGAATGTATGACTAAAAATAAATATAAAACAAAAGGTTCTCGATTTCATGAATCGTTTTTTTTTTTTTTTTTTTTCCAACTTTTTAAAGGATAGTTTTTGGAATCGAATAACGATATCGAGTAGAGCCTGAAGAGAGTATGTGAATTGGTGTGGTCGTGCCACGCGACTCAAAGGGTTCTTGCACAAGTAAAATAAAATTGAGAAGGGACATGACAAAAAATGAAATAAAAAGGAAATTCTGTGAGTATATATAGCTACAATAGAATACCATACCACTACCGAGATAGAGAAAATAATACCTTATACCTTGAACCTTGTACCTTCTCTTGGTTCGGCTGTCAGGGAGCCTTACAACCCCAATGGGATCGCCGAGGGGTGAAGTCGAGGAGCCGAGAGAAGAATAGAGAGAATCCGGGCTGGAACTACCGAAGAATGAACAAGGAAAAAAATTTATAAAAACGTTTAAAAGGGCTCAGGTAGCCACTGGTGCTCAACCAAACCCAACAAAATAACAACTCCTGGGTCTGCTCTTGGTTATATTTATACCAAATACCCAGTACTAAGTTGTCTGAGTTGGGTTAGAGGGGAATGAGAGTAGCCAGACCCTTTTATAATCGAGGATGAACGACCGCGGTCAAAAATTTAAAAGGCGCAGCTTGCAGTATTTTTATTATAAGGAGAACGATACAGTTTTAAGACTGTATCCGGCCATTCGATTGATCGATAACTCCAGGGGATTAAAATGTCCAAGAAATATATAATATGCACTCGGGATTTACTCACAGGATGTCGAAGAGGTCAAACATCCTTTTCAATAGCTAACTTGATGATGTACCCGGTGGATTTTTATTAAATATGTTAGTTGATGTTTTACCATCGATAAAAACCCTCATTTTGGGTAGAGACCCTTCCCAAGTATCCGGTACCCTTCTCTCCAGAGATTTCTACCAGTTATTCAAGTTATTTCGCAATTTCCGTTCTAAAACTCACTGTTCTTAATTCATTACTTTAATATGTATCATATAAAATATATTCTGCGTTTTATTTTAAATAAGTAAAGGGACTGAGAGATTTGATACTTTGATGAAGCCCCAGGGTGTCCCGGGTTACTCTTTTCGGATCTAACAAAGACCGAGAATTTGGAGGAAAAAATAAAATATAAAAGTAAGAGAGAAAGGAGACGGGACGCTGCTGGAAGTGAGTTTAATGCGAAGGTGTATCGGAGAAGGCCGTCTGCCACGCGACCAGGTAACAATAGTGGGGCGAGAGCTGGTCTTAAAAAACGATGCTTGATTTCGTATAAAATCCCAAAATTTTACCCTTCAAATTTTCCATCTTTGCTTAAATACAATTGATGGTTTCTTGGCTTGGTTTTTATAAAAAGTGTCAAAATTAAAAACAAGACCCCAGAACTGAGCACCCCGGAGGAGGAAGCCAAGGAGGCAGAGGAGCCCAAAAACAATAAAACAAAAGCAAAATGATCGTCCGTTGCACCGTTCGGGAGTAAACGGAACGCGTACGTATACTCGGGTGATGCCACGCGACCAGAATCTGGTGGGGGACTCGGTAACGGGGCGCGGGAGGGCACGGGGGTAAAAAAAAGTTGTAGAAGGCGAGCGAGCAACTAAACCGAACACGGGGAAAAGGGAATGAGACGCAGGGGAACTTAGCAGCTGTCGTTTGCTGCCCCCCTTTGCGTTACACTGGGGCCCAACTGGGACACTGGCGTAGGGCGCTGGGGCCCAAAGACCCACCAGAGGTTCTCCATTCCCTTTTTCATCAAATTTTCCACGCTAATCTAGTTAGTCTTCAAATTCGACCTCAAATTGCCACACTAGACCCATTCCCGGGTAGAAATTTCAGTGAGGCAGTGATTTGGTGCAATTAGACATGCCAAGTTCCAAATTTGCGATAAGTGAAGCATCCAAATCAGTCTAATTTAGGTTGCAATTTGGAAACCACACTTGCTGGTGACTATCTAAACCTTATTTGGTCCAAATTTGGCTACCTAACTAGGTAGTTAATGTTCCAACTGGTACATCTGGGGACTGACGTCACTATCTAGGACGACAGGCACTACTCAGGGTGTAATTAGTGGAAAATAAATGAAAAAGATTGCATAACTGAGATTGATCGAATTGTTAGTGGAAAGGTGTAACAATAAAGGAAGAAATAGCAGGGTTGCTGTTGGCGCAAAACGCAAACGCGTGCCAGGGCACGTGACCCGCACGTGTCTACTCGTCTTCACTCCCCCCTCCCCCCATCTTTTTCTTCCACGGGTCTCTGGGTGTATTCCGACGCTATCTGTTAACAGAGCTAATGTACAGTTTACCTCTGTTGGGTTTGTATTTACACTGGCTCAGAAACAAAGATTTGCTTCGGTAATTTATACAGCCCTGTCATGGAAAACTCGGTGACCTTTTCGGCTGACAAACTGATAGACATTATCGTACCGATTGAAAGAGTGACACCTGGCAAAGGGCAGGTTATTGGCTCTGCTAACATAATCAAAACACTTGGAGAGAGGAGTTAATCGTGCTATTATTTATTGGGGGATGTTTAGCCACTAAACAACATAAGGGCTCACTACGAAATCTGGCCAGATGTCTACTTCGAGGCAGGTCGTGTCAGGGTGTATTGCCCCATGTCCAGCTCTCGGGTTCTACAGGTGCCAAATCGTTTACTCCATATGCTTTTAAATCCACGATAAACAAATAAAAGAAAAATTATCGTACGAAATATGTTATTAACTTCGTTGGGATGTACATGTGTAGGGAATGCGTTAAGTTGGACGCCTATGGAGCGCTCCTAGGGTGGTAAATCCACGGACCAAGGTTTCAAAAAAAATAATGTTGTAACGATATATTAAAGCATGTAAGTTCCTTTTGGAATGAATAAGGTAATCCGGAGAAAGTCTACGAGCAGATGGTCTTCTTCGCGGTAAACAAATGTGGTGGAAGTTGTTTTGTTAATGGAAAGTTTTAATTGTAAAATGAAGAAATTTGGTGGAGATTAGAGTTTTGAGAAATAGGGATTGTTTCTAAGATCTTTAGAGAAACTGTGGAAAATTTATGGATTTTTAAGATTTTAGTTTTTAATTTGAAAAAAAATTACATTAAAATTAGCTGACGTTCAACAATTTTAGATTTTTTTTATCAATTAAATTAAAACAAAAAAAAACATTTTTACAAATTTTTTTTACAAAGTTTTTTTTAAATAATTTTTTCGATAAAAAAAATTCTAAAAATTTTTAGATGGCTAACTTTATTGTCATAAAAAAAATGTGTAATTTTTTAAGTAAAGAATAAATAATTTTTATTTATTAAAAATACATTTCGTGACCAAAAGTTACTTCCTCAGGGCTTACTTTAAATATATTAAATTAAACAACATTTTTTTTTGGTTTATAAATTTTTCTCTAATTTTTTTTCAATGTTGTACAATAATTTTTGATAAAATAACTACAAAGCCCAAAAATAAAATAAAAAAAATAATTTATCAGAATTATGACTGGAAATTCCGTTAGTTTATGGCCGGTAAAATATGCCAATTTTTATCCGACAACAGTTATTATAATTCCGAGGACGTGTGCGAGGCGCGTGTGAGGACTCGAGAGGGAGAGGACCGGCGGCGAGAGAAACAGGAAGAAAATGAGAAAGAGGAGAAGAGGCAGGTGCATCATGGTGACACTCCCTACACACTATGCTGGTTGTTAAAGTAACAGAGGCTGAGGCTGCTAGAGGCCCAAGTCACGCAGTGTTGTGTCTGGACCCGGATTTTTTCACAAACTATAAATGCAGCCGGCTTCTAAAAATTTTCTACCGAGGAAAATTCAATGGGGAAATTTACGTTTGATCAAGAATAGTTTTATTTATTTCTTGAGAGGATAAAAAATGTCCATCATAATCTTTACAGCCTCGTCGCTCCAACACCTGTCGGTAGATCGAACAAAGATTTCTCTTTTTTTATTATTATATAGTTTATTCAAAAATTACCGACCGGCCATCCGAGGTATCTTACACGCCAGATATATTTATAGAAACTCCGAAAGATAAAAATCCTTCTTCATATTTATCTTCATGTGTGTATCCGCTATATATAGACCGATCCTGCTCTTACTTATGTTCGGTAATTTATTATGAAGATTAGATTTAAAGTTAAGTAATAATTTTTAAAGTTATCAAGCCTCTCGGCCTGGAAAATCTAAATTAAATGATAAAAAATATCAGCTGAGATAAGTTTTATTAAAATAAATCAAGAATAGTGAGTTAATAAATACTAGCAACTTTGCATGTCACTACGTCACTGCCTAAACTTGTTACTTATAAATAAATAAAATTTTGCTTTATTAAATAATGAATTTTGTTAAATTGCACTGTACTTTTTTAACAATTGACATTTTCAAGTATATAAGCTCATCCCGATGTTACACTCATCACAAGCTTTCATTTGAGTACCCACATGCATTTTTGATATATTTTTCATGTATACATATATATATTTTAAAGATATAAGCTCATCCTGATGTTATACTCATCAAGAGCTTTCATTTGAGTACCCACATGCATTTTTGATATATTTTTCATATATACATGTATACATAATATATATATATATATATATCAAATATAAGAAAAAATTGATGTGGGTACTTGAATGAAAGGTCTTGATGAGTGTATCATCGGGATGAGCTTATATCTTAGAAAATGTCAATAGTTCACAAGATATTTGTTAAAATGCCTTGTACTTTCTTAACTATTGACATTTTTAAAGATATAAGCTCATGCCGATGTTACACTGTTTAAAAGCTTTCATTTTAGTACCCACATGCATTTTTGATATATTTTTCATATATACATATATACATAATATATATATAAATATATAAAATATATGAAAAATTGATGTGGGTACTCAAATGAAAGCTCTCAATGAGTATAACATCAAAATGAGCTTATATCTTCAAAAATGTCATTAGTTCCCAAGATACAAGCTCATTTCTTAATTATAAATAAACTGGCCACAAAATTTTGCTTATTCTCTTAATATATATAAATCAAGAATAGTTAATAAATATGCATAAAAAAAAATACAAAACTAACCCCGGGTTAATTGTGTCGATTAATTACGTACTTGACATACGATTTAAATTGCTCTCGACAATTCTAGCTCAATTACTACAACCAACTACTCAAGTGCTAGCTAAAGAATTCACGTTAATTTTATTTTTCATTTTTTATTTTTTATTTTTTATTTTTTATAGGGATGAGAAACACTGCAATGCATTCTATCCCATATACCACACGAATTCCCAATCGGCAGGTGTAACTTCATTGATTCAACTTTCGATTCCGCTACACAAATCCCGAACAAATCCTGGGCGAAAAATTTTAATTAATCACGCTCTTTATTTTATTTTATTTAATTTTTAAAATTAAAAAAATTTTTTAATTATAAAAAAAAAAAGAAGAAAATTATTTTCTAAAAGACAAATAAAATTTTCAGCGAAAAATTTTAATTTAATTTATTTCTTCATTTTTTTTTTTTTAATTTTTAAAATTAAAATAATTTTTTTATTATAAAAAATTATAAAAATAAGATAATAAAATTATTTTCTACAAGACAAATAAAATTTTCAGCGAATAAAGGGGTAGGTTTTTATATTGGCTAGAATAAAACCTATAAGTGGCAGCACTGTTCAGCACATTGACAAGTAGAACCAAAACACAGACCGTGGTTCGTAAAAAAAACATTAATAAATGAAAACACTTTTTAAAATAAACACACCAGGGTTGAGAATAATTATAAAGAAAAAATTAAAAATAAAAATAAGCTGGAGCGAATCTTTAATGACAAAACCAAAACCGACTGGGATTAGCAAAGATTATTGTATTGCGAACTCACTCGAAGATTCGCCAGTGATTAATGAGTAACTGAGAGTAAATTTTCGGATGCGGTGAAGAAATAAGTTGTTAATTAGTGTGTTAATCAGTGGCTTACTCACCGGGTTGTTTGTTGGCTATTTTATTAAAGCAATTTTGAAAAACCTCGTAGAGGTGCATCGGCTCGTCGTCGCTGGCAGCCATGTTTTTATGAACTGTCGGTTGTGGATATCTGTTGAGGGAACTGCCGTCCGCGGCGCCACTGTACGCGACAATGAGATGAGATCTTTGTGTGTGTGTGTGTGTGTGTGTGTGTGTGTGTGTGTGTGTGTGTGTGTGTGTGTGTGTGGGGAGATGTGATGCTACTGGAAGGGATACCAGTAAATACTAGTGATCAGATCACAAGCTACTGAGATACTATACTCCCGTCACTTTATCCTCTGCGTATGTATTATATTTTATTTTTATTTTCTATACTCTATTATTTTATGCTTTGATATAGTTTGTTTGAAGTTATTTAAACAATTTTTTTTTTTAAATTTAACTGTCACTTTGCAATTTTATTTTTTTTTAATAAAAAAAATTAATTTAGAAGATTTTTGATAATTTTAAGAATTTTTTTAAAGAAATTATGGCAAAAAAATTGACGTAATAATTAAAAAAAATAAAAAATCCAATTTTTTTAAATAATACTAAAGTTAACCGACGATTTTAATTTTTTGATTTTTTTTTAATAATTAAATTAGAATAAAAAAATATTTTTTTTAAATTGCACTGACAATTTTTGAAGTTTTTTACAAGTGAAATTTTTTTTCTTCTTTTTTTGTAATCATTTCTTCAATAAAAAAGAATTCTAAAAATTTTTAAATGTCTTTGCAATTTTTTAATTTTTTTAACAAAAAATTTGTATGAAAATTAATAAAAATTAATTTAGCAGATATTTTATCATTTTCAAAATATTTTAAACAAATAAATTATGGCAAAAAAAATTGACATTTAGAAATTTAAAAGAAATTGTAAATGTAATTTTTTAATTATTTTTATTGATTAAAAAAATTACTTTAATAATTATTTTATTAATTTATAACTTACAATGAGTATATATTATTAAAATATATATAAAAAAGAAAGAATTGACAATTAAATATTTTGATACATAATTATTTTGAACTTTAACAGTATCGGTGATTAAATTCGTAAATATTTATAATAAAAATGTGCTATTAAAGTTAGTGCCGCTGATAAATATTTAAAAAATAGCAATTGTATTTATAAATTAAGCCGACTGAAAAAAGTCCTCCTAAATTCCAGCAAAGTCGTTGTTCTGAGGTACTGGGTAGGAAATATCTTCGTACTGTTGTCTTCCAAACTCTAAAAAAATATAAATTTAATTTTTATAAATAATTAATCGGGCTTAGTCATAATAACGAACCTCCAGCTCCAGAAGGAAATAATGTAGCAAGAGTTCCGCCTCTTTGCTGGCCGATTTTCACCAGATACTTGGTCGAAAAGAGCCGGAAGATCAGATTAGCGATCATCAGAATCCCGCTGAATCTCTGGGACGCATCTACAAGATGACGATCAGACAGAAACTTCTGTAGGTCAGATGATTAAGTAACTATTGTCCTCTCATGCATTTTATCAAGTATTTTGTTTTTATTTACTCACTGTCGCCGTTGAAGTAAATCGCCAGCATTATCACGTCAAATAATATTGCCAGGACATTTATAATCAGCGCCTTAAATTTTTTATTTATTAATATTTAATTAAGAATTAACCTTGTATCTTGTAAAATGTTGACATTTTTTAAGATATAAGCTCATCCTGATGTTACACTCATTAAGACCTTTCATTTGAGTATCCACATCAATTTTTCATATATTTCATATATTTATTTATATTATATATATGTATATATGAAAAATATATCAAAAATGCATGTGGGTACTCAAATGAAAGCTCTTAATGAGCGTAACATCAGGATGAGCTTATATCTTTAAAAATGTCAATAATTAAGAAA